GTGGGAGACCCCGACGCCCTTGACATACCGACTCCTCGCACTTACTGCGAGGCAGTGTCAGGGGCGTGGGCCTCTCAGTGGAAAGCGGCTATGGACTCAGAGTTGGCGTCTTGGAGATCCACAGGCACCTACGTCGACGCAGTTCCCCCTCCCAGGGCGAACGTAGTCGATGGCATGTGGCTCTTCAAGGTGAAGCGGCCGCCTGGAGCACCGTCGGTGTTCAAGGCGCGCTACGTGGCTAGGGGCTTCAGTCAGCGTGAGGGAGTTGACTTCTTCCAGACCTTCGCCCCGACCCCGAAGATGACTACTCTTCGGGTGTTACTCCACATAGCAGCGCAGCGAGACTACGAGCTGCACTCCCTCGACTTCTCCACTGCGTTCCTCCAGGGCCGACTGCACGAGGAGATCTGGCTGCGCCGTCCTCCTGGCTTCACTGACTCCTTCCCACCTGGGACCCAGTGGAGCCTGAGGCGACCAGTCTACGGTCTCCGCCAGTCGCCCCGTGAGTGGCACGACACTCTTCGCTCCACGCTTCGTGACCTTGGGTTCAGCCCGTCCTCCGCCGACCCGTCGCTGTTTGTTCGAGCGGATTCTACTCCTTTCTTTATCCTTGTCTACGTCGACGACTTGGTGTTTGCTACAGCAGACAGGGCAGCCCTGGCTCAGGTGAAGTCCGAACTGCAGAAGAGACACAAGTGCACTGATCTGGGTGAGCTGCAGCGTTACCTTGGCTTGCAGATCACACGGGACAGAGCCGCTCGCACCATCACACTGACGCAGTCACACATGGTGCAGCAGGTCCTTCGGCGGTTCGACTTCCAGTTCTCCACCACTCAGCCCACTCCTCTTGCTGTTGACCACAGACTCACGGGCCCCTTTCCTGACGAGCCCTTTGAGTCCAGTGGACCCTACGCAGAGCTGGTGGGCTGCCTCATGTACCTGATGACTTGTACTCGACCGGACCTCGCCTTTCCCCTCAGTATCCATTCCTGCTTTGTTGCGTCTGGGAGACACCGGCCTGTCCACTGGACAGCTGCTGTGAGGGTGGCGAAGTACCTGGCGACTACATCAGGCATGGGGCTTGTGCTTGGATGGACTCGGCCAGTGGCGTTGACTGGTCACTGTGACTCTTCCTACGCTGACGACGTGGAGACTCAGCGCTCGACTCAGGGTTACTGCTTCAGTCAGGGAGCTGGTGCTGTGTCGTGGAGGTCTACACGGTCGTCGTCTGTGGCTACTTCCAGTGCAGAGGCAGAGATCTACGCGGGTGCCATGGCGGCACAGGAGCTTCGCTGGTTGACCTTCTTGCTCGCCGACCTTGGTGAGCGGCCTCGCTCTGCACCGACCTTGTACGCTGACAACAAGGCCATGATCCTCCTGTGTCGAGAGCCTCGACTGGAGAGCAGAGTGAAGCATATTGACGTGAGGTACTTCCTCCTGCGAGAGCTGCAGCGACGCGGCCAGGCACGCCTGGACTTTGTGGCCTCAGATGCCAACACTGCAGACGTCTTCACCAAGGCCTTGGCGCTTGGTGACCACCACAGGTTCTGTGTGCAGTTGGGGCTAGTTGAGGTAGGCCCTCGGTTGCTGTAGTCCTGTTGCTTGCTCTGCTTGTTGTGCCTTATATTTATATCCTAGTGAACTCTTGAACTGGCCTTGTGGCCGCTTGCTTGCGCTCGGAATTTGTGTGGTGTCCTTGAGATCCACCCTGAGCTTGTCTTGGTTCTTGCTTTGACTGGTCTTGTGACCGTTTGTTCACCTTGCTTGCTTTGATGCCCCTCACTTAGCCTATGGGGGTGTGTCAAATGTTGAACATTGATATGATAGGCTGTAGTGAGTTGCACTCTAGGGGGTACAGTTTATAGGGTTGCTTATTTGTACCCCATTCGTTTCTATTCCAACCATTCCGTTGCTAACCACTCTTGAGAATAAGACCCCTGGACATTTATAAATCACACAAAAATGGATTGTAAAGACTAGTACTGAAGAATTTCATTTTTTTTTTTTGCGAATTCGAGTACTGTTCAAAACGGTAAATTCTATCGCCACTCTCGCTTCGCGCACATCAATCTTTGCCACGCGTCACACCTCATGTAATGTCCAATTCTGACAGGTACGTCAGCATTTCTCGCGTGACGGGCGGCAAAAGCGCATGTTCGACGTGGCATCATGACTCCATTGACCACGAATTCGCCCCACAACGTGAATCTGGTGTTTTTTTAGTGTGACTCGATAAGCATCTCACCGGTTAAACACCACCCATGCAAAAGAGGGGGGGTCTTATAATGAATGGGGTCAAAAGGCGGGTCCTCTCCAGGACTGACTCAATAAAAGACCCCTGGTCCGGATAGAAGACCCACGGGGCTTGTATGCGGGGGGGTCTTGTAACCGGGAGATCATGGTAGGCTGAAATTCCAGACAACTCATAAGAAAAAACTCTGAAAAATCAGACAAGGTACATAAATAAATTCTTTGAGTTCAGACTAGGTACAAAAAAAAAGTCTGAACGGACTCTGATTCAGACTCCAAAGTCTGATATCTAGGGCACTGCCTGCAATATACTAGAAACCTGACATGACAAATCATAGACCCCAACACCTCATTAAAGCTTTCGTATACATTTGAAAAAGGGAGGTTCAAAAGTTTTGAAATTTGAAATATTGGTAACCCAGAAACAGCTAGTTTCACTCGCTTCACAAGGGAGGTGATCTCCCCGTCACCCAGGGCTCACTGGTGATTCAAAACTTTTGGACTAACAAAAGTATACGAAATCCAGTCCATGTGAGATCTACGCCACTACGCTCAACAGGCAGCATAAATCGTAGCAAAGCACATCGCGACAACAGCCAGCGCAAATCACTCCCGTTTCCGACACAAACTTAGACGCGTGGGGCAGTTTAGTGTAATTACACGTCCGAGCCAACGTCAGTTCCGCCCTCTAACACGGCGAGCCCGCCGGACCCCTTCTCACAGCCTCGCCTCGTCGTCCGTCGCGTTGCCTCACCACGCGGCCTCCTCACGCCACCATGAACGCGCACGCTGCGTCTCAAACTGCCGAACACGCACGATCACAGTCGCTTCCCGATCGCGCGACCTCGCTACCACGTTTCCGCAGTAGCGGCGGCAGCCGCAATTGAGGTGTCGCGAGGGTAATCAGAAACGATTGCTCCCCATTACCTCTTCCCGCCTCCCCGTTTCCCCTTCCCGCCTCCCCAATTCCCCTTCCCGACACCCCATTTCCTCTTCCCGCTCCCCATTACCCCTTCGCGCCTCCTCGTTTCCCCTTCCCGCTCCCCATTACCCCTTCCTGCCTCTGCAATTCCCCTTCCCGCCACCCCATTTCCTCTTCTCGCTCCCCATTATCCCTTCCCGCCTCCTCGTTTCCCCTTCCCGCTCCCCATTACCCTTTCCCGCCTCCCCAATTCCCCTTCCCGCTCCCCATTACCCCTTCCCGCCTCCCCAATTCCCCTTCCCGCTCCCCATTACCCCTTCTCGCCTCCCCAATTCCCCTTCCCGCTCCCCATTACCCCTTCCCTCCTCCCCGTGACCCCTTCCCGCTTCCCCATTACCCCTTCCCACTCCCCATTTCCCCTTCCCGCCTCCCCAATTCCCCTTCCCGCCTCCCCGCTTCCCCTTCCCACTCCCGATTATCCCTTCTCGCCTCCCTTCTCAAACTGCCGAACACACATCACAGTCGCCGCCCGATCGCACAGCCTCGCTACCACGTTTCCGCACTAGCCGCGGCAGCCGCACTCTCATTTCCCCCCTTGCAGACTCTCATTTTCCCCCTTGCTCACTCTCATTTCCCCCCCATGCTCTCCCTCATTAAAACCCCCTTCTCCCTCTCATTCCCCCCATGAAGCCCCTCATCCCCCCCTTTCTCCCTCTCATCTCCCCCCCTGCTCCCTGTCATGTCCCCACCTTCTCTCTCTCATGTCACCCCCTTCTCCCGCTCATTCCCCCCCATTCTCCCTCTCATTTCTTCCCCTTCCCCCTCTTATATCTCCCCCTACTCCCTCTCATTCCCCCCATGAAGCCCCTCATTCCCCCCCTTTCTCCCTCTCATCCTCCCCCCTGCTCACTGTTATGTCCCCCCTTCTCTCGCTCATGTACCCCCCTTCTTCCTCTCATTTCCCCCCCTTATCCCTCTCATTCTCCCCCCTGCTCCTTCTCATTCCCCCCTTAACCACTCAGTTAAATGCCACATAACCTCCCTCTCATTTCCCCGCATTCCCCCCCCCTTCCCCCTCTCGTTTCCCCCCATCTCCCTCTCCTTTCCCCACGTGCTCCTTCTCATTCCCCCCCCCTTCTCCATCTCGTTTCCCCCCCGCTCATTTCCCCCCATCTCCTTTCATTTTCCCCCCTTCTCCCTCTCATATGCTTCTAACCCCTACCGTACCCTTGGATGATCGCATGCCATACTCATCCATCCGCTGCCATACACCGCCACACCCTTCCATCTCCTCCCATACCCTTCCATACGCCAGCCAAGCCCGTCCCTCATTCTGCCATACCTTGCCATACTCTGCCATACCTTTCCTTCCCTAGCGTAAGTGTACCATTCCCTTCCATACCCCAGCCATACCCATCCATCCCCTGTCATACCCTTCCATTCCCTTCCATACCCTTCCATACCTTCCATTCCCTTCCATACCCTTCCATTCCCTTCCATACCCTTCCATTCCCTTCCATACCCTTCCATTCCCTTCCATACCCTTCCATACCTACCATTCCCTTCCATACCCCAGCCATACCCTTCCATACCCTTCCATTCCCTTCCATACACTTCCATTCCCTTCCATACACTTCCATTCCCTGCCATTCCCTTCCATTCCCTGCATTCGTGCACAGGCATATGACTAGTCACGTGATTGGTATCGAAGAATCCAGGGTTGGGTGATAAAGGTTATGTATATAGTGATACAATTGTAAGGACTTTTTTTATAAAACATGTTGTGAGGCTACGAGCTTGATTTTGGTCCTGAAGTGCCAAAAATGTACTAGAGTTGGGAGTGTATGCATGCTTCTTGAATCACAAGTGCATAGTAATAAATACGCAGGGAGCTGCCGCACAAGTTGGCGGCTGCTGTTGTATGCCTGGCGTTGGTGTGCAGCAGAGGGGAGCGATGCATTGTGTGCTGCTTGGTGGACCTGCCGGTGAGAGGAGTGGGGGGGGTCAGGGCTGAGAAAGGGACGAGGAAGGGGAAAAAGAAGGCACATATCAGGGTGAGCTCAACCAAAGCCTGGAGAGAGTGCCCTTAGTCATCCAAGTGGCGTGAAAACGGTTGTCTAGGCAAGTCCCAAGGCATGCGATGGGACGCGCACAGTACCTGAGAGGCGTGAACGATGGGACAAAACTTGAGATGAGTCGAGCTCGCTTGCACGCACCATCTGCCGCAACAGCCTCGCTACCTCCTCCTCCTCCCTCTCCCTCCGCCTCGCTTCCTCATCGAGCCTCACACCCTGCTCGCTCCCCAGTCCACTGCTGACATGGCTGCTTCGATAGTGTGCACCCAGCGTGAGAGACCCGGCATGCTGCATCTCCTGCGGCTTGCGCACTCATGAGCGCGCTCGGCTGTGAGACCGCAGCAGGGTCCACTCGCTCTTGGTTCTGCTGTTGCTGCCCATGCACCTGCCGCTGTTCTTGCAAGATCATCCCAGCTCCAACTCCTCGTGGGAGCTGCTGCTACATTTGCTCCACAAATGCTAGGTCCAGTAGGAGCTCAATCCGCAGGAGCAGAAGTATGGTCAGAACCGGGGCAGTTGCAGAGTCACACGGGTTGGGGCCAACAGCCGGCGTCGGCAGTCCATAGTCAAAGGAGTGGGGCGAACAATCCTCCCCACTGGCTGCTCCTCGCCTCATGTCTCCTCCTCCTCCACCATGCCTTCCCCTCCTTTCCTGAGCTACCTCCTGCTCCGGGGGGAACACCAAAGGAAGGAACACTGGGTGTGGCAGCAGAGGCAGCTCCGGCAAAGGCAGCAGCGGCGGCAGTATGGGCAGGGACTGAAGGAGCGAGTGGGATCTCATGGGAGGTGAGATGACCCTGGAAGGAGGGGGGATGAGAAATTAAGGCATGGCGATGGGAGAGCGTGGAAGGGAGAATGGAAGGGAGCGAGTGGGGGGCAGTATTTTGCAAGGGATCCACCCTGTAAGGGAGGGAAGATGAAAAGGACGGGAGGGCAGTGGGGCTATGCCAGAGCTGGGAGGGAAATGAAGGGGAGCAAGGTGGGAAAAATAAGGGGAGAAGGGGGGGAAATGACGGGGAGCAAGGTGGGGAAAATAAGGGTTTAGGTTGGGAAATGAAGGGGTGAAGGAGGGAAATGAGAGGGAAGCGGGGAAGCGAGAGTGAGCAAGGGTGGAAGTGAGAGGCGGCAAGGGGGGAAATGAGAGGGAGGAGGGGGAGAGATGAGAGGAGCAAGGGGGGAAATGAGAGGGAGGAGGGGGAGAGATGAGAGGAGCAAGGGGGGAAATGAGAGGGAGGAGGGGGAGAGATGAGAGGAGCAAGGGGGGAAATGAGAGGGAGGAGGGGGAGAGATGAGAGGAGCAAGGGGGGAAATGAGAGGGAGGAGGGGGAGAGATGAGAGGAGCAGTGGGGGAAGTGAGAAGGAGCAGGAGGGGGAGAGATGAGAGGAGCAAGGGGGGAAATGAGAGGGAGGAGGGGGAGAGATGAGAGGAGCAAGGGGGGAAATGAGAGGGAGGAGGGGGAGAGATGAGAGGAGCAAGGGGGGAAATGAGAGGGAGGAGGGGGAGAGATGAGAGGAGCAAGGGGGGAAATGAGAGGGAGGAGGGGGAGAGATGAGAGGAGCAGTGGGGGAAGTGAGAAGGAGCAGGAGGGGGAGAGATGAGAGGAGCAAGGGGGGAAATGAGAGGGAGGAGGGGGAGAGATGAGAGGAGCAAGGGGGGAAATGAGAGGGAGGAGGGGGAGAGATGAGAGGAGCAAGGGGGGAAATGAGAGGGAGGAGGGGGAGAGATGAGAGGAGCAAGGGGGGAAATGAGAGGGAGGAGGGGGGGAGATGAGAGGAGTAAGGGGGGAAATGAGAGGGAGGAGGAGGGGAAATGAAGGGGAGCAGTGGGGGAAGTGAGAAGGAGCAGGAGGGGAAATGAGGGGGAGCAGTGGGGGAAGTGAGAAGGAGCAGGAGGGGAAATGAAGGGGAGCAGTGGGGGAAGTGAGAAGGAGCAGGAGGGGAAATGAAGGGGAGCAGTGGGGGAAGTGAGAAGGAGCAGGAGGGGAAATGAAGGGGAGCAGTGGGGGAAGTGAGAAGGAGCAGGAGGGGAAATGAGGGGGAGCAGTGGGGGAAGTGAGAAGGAGCAGGAGGGGAAATGAAGGGGAGCAGTGGGGGAAGTGAGAAGGAGCAGGAGGGGAAATGAAGGGGAGCAGTGGGGGAAGTGAGAAGGAGCAGGAGGGGAAATGAGGGGGAGCAGTGGGGGAAGTGAGAAGGAGAAGGAGGGGAAATGAAGGGGAGCAGTGGGGGAAGTGAGAAGGAGCAGGAGGGGAAATGAGGGGGAGCAGTGGGGGAAGTGAGAAGGAGCAGGAGGGGAAATGAGGGGGAGCAGTGGGGGAAGTGAGAGGGAGAAGGGGGGGAAATGAGGGCGAGAAGGGGGGGGGGGTTGAGGGAGAAAAGGGGGGGAATGAGGGGGAAGAATGGGGGGAATGAGGAGGAGAAGGCTGGGAAATGAGGGGAAGAATGGGGGGAATGAGGGGGAGAAGGGTTAGAACTGAGAGGGAGAAGGGGGGAAAATGAGGGAGAGAAGGGGGGAAAATGAGGGAGAGAAGGGGGGAAAAATAGGGGGAGAAGGGGGGGAAATGAGGGGGAGAAGGGAGGCAAGTGGAGAGGGAGTAGGGGGGGGTTGTGAGGGGGAGAAGGGGGGAGGGGGGGTAATTAGAAGAGGATGCGCTTAGCGGGAGAGGCGCTATGCGGGCGCTAAGCGGGAAAGGCGCGCAGCGGGTGCGGCGCTAAGCGGGAGAGGGTGAGGCGACACGCGGGAAAGGCGCACAGGGGGTGAGGCGCGAAATGAGAGAGGCGCGCAGCGAGTGATTCGTTGCGCGGGAGAGGCGCGCAGCGGTTGCGGAGCTAAGCGGGAGAGGCGCGCAGCGGGTCAGGCGCTAAGCGGGAAAGGCGCGCGGCGAGTGATACGCTAAGCGGCATGGCGCGCAGAGGGTGAGGCGCTAAGCGGGAGAGCTCCCAGCATTGGAGGCGGTAAGCGGGAGACCCGCGCAGTGGGTGAGGCGCTAAGCGGGAAATGCCTACCGAGCGGGTGTTGAGAGTGGCGGCGTGGCCAACGCATGGAACGATGCGATCCCGCCGTCGGCTCCGTAATTTTCAATCGGCTTACTCGATCGCACCTACCCAGCGTGGTGATGCAACCCGTCGAGGCGCCCTTGACAGGGCTTCGACGGGGCCCATCAATGCAGCACGACGCGCTCGACGAATGCAGAGCCTTTCCCTCTCCGATTGCCGCTGAACGGCGCAGCAGTGGAAAGGAGCTGGCGTGCAAGCTAGATGTATTTTCCCACTCGCACAAGCCTATAATGTTACCTAAACTCATCTCACATGAGAATATCTGAGCGGTGTCGATGCTCCGCATGTTCTTTGTCGCGCCCCGGTTCCTCTATCTATGCTTAGCGTATGTTAGTCACATATCATGGTTCCTAGTGAAATCTGACTCCAAGGTTGGGTGACGGGGGAGTTTCCTGTGTTTGGAACTCCTCAAAGCTGCAATTTTTCGCCAAACCTCTCGCCACGCTCAGTTGTTTCGTTCTGGCGAATTTTTCCCTGGCTACAGTGCAAGTCCAAACAGTACTTGCAAATGTATACGAAAGCTTTAACCTTACATGGCAAGGAAATTAACGATATGGAAGTCTGAGAGCGTGTTCCTACGGGCCCCTATCAGGCCAGCCTCTTGTCAGCCTCTTTACCCGACTTTGTATTCACAAATTTGTGGACTGTAGAGTGCGAGAAAAATCGCGTGGATGATGTGGCACGCGGCCACAATAACATATTGTTCTTGTGGTGCCCCGAAATTGTTTCACAAGTTGCATGTTTGAAATGAAACGTGTAAACCATACTAGTCAATTGAGTCAACCCATCCTTCGTGAAAAAATCGGTGGTGATTTCGCGCGCTGAAAAAAATTGAAGCTCGAGCCCGACAAAACAGACCTCCATTCGCACGAAGTTCAGCAGGATTGCGTGAAATGGGATTGCTGATGTGGCATGTCAGAATGATTTCGCGCTCGAATTCACATCGTGCAAAACAGGGTTTTCAAGTCTGACGCGCTGTGATTTATAACGAGAATCTCGATACTTTTGTTTCTGATATGAGGGCCTGATAGGGGCCCGTAGGAACACGCCCTGACAGTGTGTCATATGGAGCACAAAAAACTCTAGTGCAACCACATCCACCACACACTCATTGAATGAAATAAATTATATATATGACTACGGTAAGTAGAGCAACATCCAGCCAATGCCACTCTCCAACACAAGCCACACTAGAAGCAAGAGAAGCAACAGAAGCAACAGAAGCACGAGCAGCAGCAGTAGGAGCTGCAGCAGGAAGCAGTTTTAGCGGATCACCAGCGGCAATCCTCCTGTGCGTTAATCCCTCTAAACCCCTGAGAACACCCACTTCTCCCTCTCCTCCTGCTGCGGCTGCTGTGGCTGCTGTGGCTGCTGCGGCTGCTGTGGCTGCTGCTGCTGCTGCTGCTGCTGCTGCTGCTGCTGCACCTCCCCGTGTGACCCCACTGCCGCAGCAGCGGCAGCGTCGGGGAACAAGTGGGGAGCAGAAGGGCTCTCCCTCTCGCCCATCTTAAACTGCGACAGGTCAAACTCAAACCCCGCTAATAACCCTGCCTGGAACCCACCCGACACCAACCCACCTGCCCTAGACACACCGCCACCACCTGACGATCCACCTGACACCTTGCTGCTGCTACTCTCCCCGCTGCTCTCCCCTGCTCAGTCCGCTCCCACCTCCTCACTGCCCCCGTCCCCCAGGTCATCAAATACGTCAATTGGTGAGTTGCTGTCGCCCGGGAACAGGGCTGACGGGTGTGCATTGTTGGTAGCAGCACCAGCAGCACCAGCAGCACCAGCAGCACCAGCAGCACTGGAACCACTGGCATCGTCGCTATCAGGGTACCCTGTGTTCTCAAACACGTTAGAGCCATCTCCACTGGCGTCCTCCTCGCCCCCCTCCTCACTCTCCCCACCCTTGCCCTCACTTCCCTCCTCACCTTCCTCGCCCTTCTCACTCCCCTCCTGTTCCCCACCCTCAGAATACCCAAGCCTCTCAAACACGTCCCCATCACCACTCTCACTGGTTTCCTCATCATCCGCACCTACGCCACTGCCCCCATCATCGCCAGTGCTACCCTCACCAGTACTACCCTCCCCATACCCACCATCATCACCACCAGTACCTCCTGCAGCCAAAGCAGAAGTAGCAGCAGCGGCAGCAGAATTCTCATCCGGGTTGGAGTGGTGCACAAACGGGTTCACCTCCCCCGGTTGAGCCTTCCCCCCCGCCCCCACACTCCCGCCCCCCCCACCTCCTGCCTTAGGCTTGCTCTCCTCCTCCTCGTCCGCTGGGCCATCAGGGTAACCGGTGCTCTGAAACACATCATCTGCATCATTGGCGCCGTCTCCCTTACCCTCACTCATCTCCTCTGTTCCTGCACCAGCACCTGTCTTATGCTTGCTCTCGTCCTCCTCGTCCGCTGGGCTATCCGGGTACCCTGTGCTCTGAAACACGTCATCCTCATCATTGTCACCCTCTCCCTTGCCCTCACTCTTCTCCTCTGCTCCTGCACCACCACCTGCTCCCACCTTCTCGCCTGCCCCCACCTCCTCGTCCGCCCCGACCTTGTCATCCACCCCCTCTTCCCCTGAACCTTCCACAGAAAAAGGGTCGCCACCCTTCGTACCACCATACGCATCACCCCCACCACGCCTCTCCTCCTCCTTCTCCTTCTCACCGCCATCCGCATACCCAGTACTCTCAAACACATTCGAACCCGCACCCGCACCCGAATCGACCGCACTCCCACCAGCCTGCCCCTTGCTCGCCTCATCCTCCTCCCTGTCCCCCTTAGCCGGGTCAAACTGTCCGGGTTCTAAGAACCGCCCCACGTTCTTTCCCCCTACTGATAGATCCAGCCCTGCAGCCTCTGCTTCAGCCACTCGAGGGTCCTTTACTTTCCTAGCATCCCCCTCCCCCCCAACCACTGCTTTTTCCGCCTCCCCCCCGACCACACTCGCTGCCACCGCTCCCAACCCCGACCCTGCCCCACTCCCCGGGCCGTCCGAGCCTGCGGCGGCAGCTTCGGCAGGAGGTTCGGTACCAGCCTCGGTAGCAGTGACTGTGTCACAAGGGAACCCGAAAAACTTGGGCCCGCATTGACCCGGCGCGACTGACAGGCCGTTAACGCAGCTACCTGTGACAGGGTTGAGGTTGGTGGGCAGGAGGAACCGCTCTCCACCCCTCCCCACCGCGTTGTACTCCACCGGCAGGGGATCCCTACTGGTATACACCGTGCCAAAGTTGTTACGGCACAGTCCCATGGCCTCCCGACCCTCCTTGTCGAACCAAGACAGCAGGTTCGGGTTCGCCGCAGCTGCGGCGAGCACATGGGCGAAATTCGAGATCAGCCCGGCCAGAGCCCTGTCCCCGTGCGGGTAGGTGTTACCTGGGGCGGCTGCATGCGTGCACTGGGGGATGAACCTGGACGGCATGCCCGTCCAGGTGAAGTGCACCGTGCTGACGTCATGGAAGGCGCAAAAGGACGAGCCGAAGCCGGCCATGTCGACGTCATCAGAGGTGAAGACTGCGTAAATGGCTGAGTCATGGCGGGGGAGGGTGCGGGAACGGAGCTGGGGAGGGAGTCGGGGAGGAAGGAAGGAGAGAAAGAGAGTGAGGGAGCAAGCCAATGGTGTTCACAGTATGAAGAAAAGACGGCGTAGATGGCGGAATCGTGGCGGGGGAGGGTGCGCGAACGGAGCTGTATAGGAGATGGGGATGGAGGGGGGTAAAGAGATGAAGAGAGAGGGAGTGAGAGGGAGTGAGTGAGTGGAGGGAGCAAGTCAATGGTGACTACGTCATCAGAGGTGAATACGGCGTAGATGGTGGAATCGTGGCGGGGGAGGGTGTGCGAACGGAGCTGACGGGGGAGAGGAGATGGGGATGGAGGGGATAGAGAGAGGGAGAAAGAGAGAGGGAGAGTGAGAGCTTAGAAAGCAAGGGAGGCAAGGAAGAGAAGGGAGCGATAATGCATGGTAGCTCTGTAACAGAGTGACGGTGACGCACCTGGTAGTTGATGATGGCGTTGACCTCGTTCTTGGACGCGGGTGGCTGCCCCTCGCCGCTGCTCGCCGCCTCTATCTCCACCTCGGGGGTCTGCAGCACAGGGAGAATTGAGCGCACCACAAAACACCGGAAGCGTTTAGGAAAATGGCAGCACCGATGCTTCTGTGAATCGTCAGACACGCGCCAATCCCAGCACAATGGCATCGCGGTTGCAGCCACCCCCCTGCTCAGGGCCAGCGGTCCCTCATCCCTCGCAAGCAGCTCCCCAATTGGTTCTCGCTACAACACACACCCCGAGAACGATGCTCCCAGTGACGTGCTCGCGACCCGAATGATACAGCCGGTTCACGTTCCACCACTCGCGCACACTCCCCGCCTCGCTGCTCCCCGCGCCACCCCCCGCCGCGCTGCCCGCGCCCACGTCCGCCAGCGACTGAATGAAGGCGCGCACGGGCGCCTTGCGCTCGTCCGTCCACGTGCCGTGCCAGATGAGGTAGACGGTGAGTGGGTCCGACAGGACCGCGCCCCCGTGGAACGCGATAGGGTTGGCGGAGAGATTTGGCGCTGGTGGGAGGGGAGGAGCAAGGGGAGAGCATGCATTCGAACAGAGAAGACTTGCGCTCGTCCGTCCAGGTGCCGTGCCAGATGAGGTAGACGGTGATTGGGTCGGATAGGACTGTCCGTGGAAGGCGATGGGGTTGGGGGCAAGATCTATCGCTGGAAGTGGGAGGGGAGGAGGGGAGGGAGCAGCCAGATGGGGTAGACGGTGATTGGGTCCGATAGGACCGTCCGTGGAAGGCGATGAGGTTGGGGGCGACATCCGAAGCTGGTGGGAGGGGAGCGAGTGTGTGCGTGGCGAGTGGTTCAATCAGACACACAGCAAGGCATGGCGGAGGGAACTCACGCTGCTGGGTGTGAGGCAGCATCCACCCCTTGGCCTTGAACACAGGGGCTGAACCTGGGGACGACGACGACGAGGAGAGGGAGGAGGAAGAGGAAGTGGAGGGCAACGACGAGGCGGACAGCCCGCTGCTGCTGCTGTCCGTCGCGCCGCTCTCCAGCACATTCGCGACGCTCGCGTCGTTGCCCGCCGCGACGAACGGCCCGGCTGTAGCTGAGGACGAGGAGGCGGAGGAGGAGGAGGCGGAGGACGACGACGAGGCTCCGCTGCTGCTGTCCGTTCCGCCGTTCTCAAGCGCCCTCGCGACGCTCGCATCGTTCCCCACCGCCACAAATGGCCCGGCGGTAGCTGCGGACGAGGAGGAGGAGGGCAACGACGAGGTCGACGCTCCGCTGCTGCTGTCCGTCGCGCCGTTCGCGAGCGCATTCGCGACGCTCGCGTCGTTCCCTGCTGCGACGAACGGCCCGGCTGCGGATGCACCTACAGCGCCGTTATCGGATCCCGCGCTTGTCGGCTCCCGCGGCGCCGTTGCCGCTGGCGGCATCAGCGGCGTCTTCGAAGAAGGATTTGATGCCCAGCAGCCCGATGGACTGGCGCGCCGCCGACGCCGCCGCTACCACCGGACCCTCTGCGGGAGAGAGAGAGGGGGAAGGACGGGGGGAAGGAAGAGGGGGGGGAGGAAGAGCGTGGGGAGGAGGCGATGCGAGGGGAGATGAGGGGTGGAACGGCGCGCGGATGAACGAACGAGCGGGGGAGACGGAGGGCGAGCGGGAAGTGCGACAGTGCGCGAAAGTCAAGAACATAATCAGGAGCACCCAAAACGCATAGCGCCCGCGGAAACAAAGTGAGTCGCGGCATACCAGGCGCGGCGGAAGGCGTCTGGCCGATATTCAACTCCCGCGCCACGCGGAAGTTGCCGTAGGTGCGCGCCCAGCGCTCCCCCGCGAGCACGCGCGCATGGCTGTCGACGGCCGCCTTCACCGCTGCGCGAGGGGGAGGGGAGGAGGGAGGGCCATGAGCGAGTGCGGCGAGCAGGGAGCCATGGTATCCGATGTTTTTTCACGCTGCTTGAAACGCGGGCATGGCTGCCAATGGCGGCTTTCACCGCTGCGCGGGGGTGAGAGAACAAGACGGATAGCATCTACACGAATCTGTAACAGCCGCTGCTGCTGCTAGTAGCCCGCATGACCGTTTGCAGGGCACGCAGGGAAATGGAATGCGAAGTGGCGAGATGGATTGGGCGTGAGAGAACGAGACCGATAGCATCTACATGAATTTGTAACAGCTGGTGCTGCTGCTGGTAGCCCGCATGACCATTTGCAAGGCACGCAGTTAAAGGGAATGCGAAGTGGCGAAATGGACTGGGCGCGCGCGAATCGGGCTGCGACGCGAATGCGACCACGAAAGTCGTCGCCGAGCCGGGCGATGACGTGTGAGCGCGCTTGGTACGGAGATAAACGAGATAGGATTCGGTGCGACTAGGTCAGTACATCCTTCGCGAAAATGGTTGTGTAGGGATGGCAAGAAACTGATGAAAAGGTGACGATAATGAGAATGAGTCGTCAACGATGGCGTAAGCATAAGACACGTTAAGCCATATGGAACTCGAGCCTATCTCCTTTCAGGTATGCATATGTTGAGGGAGTTGAGACCAAAACGCACAACATTGTGCTGAATAGGGCGCTTGTCGGAGCGACTAGCCTTTGGATACTATCCAACTCCACGCGACTAACCTTGAATTCTGTCTATCTCGGCTCTTGACAGCACTCGCGAATCCGTGAGTTGCGGATAATGCGCTGCTAACGCGCAGGCGACGAGAATCAGCAGGGTGGAATGCAGGCCGCGTAACCTCATGACTGGCGTGTTTCGATGCTAACGGCGATGCCGATACTGATGTTAACGCTGATGCTAATGGTGATGCTGGTGCTGGTGCTACTGCTGATGTTGATGCTGACGAGACCCCACCAGAGCTAACCCTAAGCGAATAGAGTTTCAAAGATTAAAGTAGAAGGTTCTAAAGCTCAAACCTGGTGGCGCGCTTAGTCTCCTACACACAACCCTACCATAGCTGACCCTCACTGCTTGCACGGCATGTCACTCCGTACACCCACAGGTTGAAGACGCAGGATTCAGGCCATTGTCTGAACTGAACATGAGATGTCGGTTGGAGCAGGCAAGGGTTTGCCAGGGGAAGGTGTATGATGAGGGAGGAAGGGAAGGTCGATGGCTGCGTGAGTTTTTTGCCTGCAGGATTCTACTGCGCCGTAGAAAAGAAAGCCAGGTCAGGCCAGGCTAGCCAGAAGAAGAGTCAAGTGGCAGAGGTAACTGGCAGGGCCATACTGTGCTGCGCGAAATGCGCGAACTGGAAACCAGGTGAGCGATTTGTTCACGACGTCCGCTCGGTAGCCTGGACCTGACTGACTGGCTCTCCCAGGTTGTTGCGCTTGGCCCGGGGGGGGGGGGGGGGGCTGCGCTGGTGATGATGTGAATTTCGGTTGGCCGTTGGGCGGTGCATCCTTCCCGCACCTCGAAAATCTGCTGCCAGCCAGCAGCAACCAACCACCATTCGCGTCATGGCCGAACCAGAACTTTGGCACAGTATGCACGAGTGAGCTGCCTGCGACACGGCTACAGGTAACTGTTGTCGTATCTGAAATACAGTAACTCAGCCCTGGTAGCCATCGTCAACCAAGATTGCATGAAACATCAGAGGTAGCGAAGATGAACTGAATGTGAAATTTAGTCGGGTGGCGCCCTGGCCACAGCGGTCTCAACTTCTCTGTGGTTGCACAGAAGTCTGAAAATTCACCTAAATCGCAACTCATGGTTTTCACATGACACTTGGCGAGGTACGAGGCAGCCGCAACTTCATTTGGGCGAACCTGGTTACTAAAGAGACGAGGTCTTCGTGTCAATCGAACCGAACCTTTTTCTGCACCTTGCGACAGCGCGGCATCAACAAGGTCGTACACGTCAACAGTGTGCCCAGGTGACTCATCCTTGTCCTGCTGGAAGCTGCTCAGAGGACCACGGTGACCAACTCTGATAGCAGTACTGTTCTGTAGCAAACTCGCGGGCTTTCGGCTTGGGATGGGACCAGCTTGGGTGAATGTGACAAATCAGCCCAGTCGCGCATCCTCGATAAAAAGAAATTAAATTCTCCCAGCCCAGAAGAACTGTCAACCAAAGTGTGATACACTTCGAATGCGGATTATGAATCGATGGGACTATTGCCGTGACCATTGCCACTGGTTCTCGGCTCGGCCAGCCACTGGCATTCAGTTGTTGTTAGGTAGACTTACCACTGGAACTCATGGCTCCTCTCGTTCATTCTTGGGCGTTCCATGTTTATCGTTCAGACAGCCGCCATTACAGCCAGGGGGCTACGTGCTGTGCGTGCCTGTCCGCTAGTATCAAGCATTACGTTGTTCCCTAGGACCCATTTTTGTTGTCCAGCCCTCACAAGCACGCTCACATCATAATCCTTACTAAGTTAAATTGACATGGCATTAGTACCGCATTTTTAAATTGTCCGTAGTACCGCATTATTTAATGGATATCGCTTTCGTAGTACGCTCACGCCTAGGTGACTAAACCCCGACCGCAGTTTATTCCCGCAAGAAACATACTCTTGACCTCTCAATTCATCGATCATGGCCGTCGATTTGACGTCCGACATTAGGGTTCTGGTGGGGGTGCGCGACGACCAGCATTGCCGGCAGGCGTTAGAATGGACGATCAGCGAGTTCAGCCGGCGACAAGACAAAACCGTCTGCCTCTTGCTCACGCACGTCGTCACCGAGCTCCGCAACTCAGGTTCGCCACGTGCACTCTGCTGACGTGGCACGGATGACGTGTCAGGGACAGATGGCAGGTCATGATGCGTGGTACTGGTTATCTGCGACCGCGTGCAGCCAGCCAGCTTACGCCCTTGAATTTCTTGCTCCTCTTCCCTCTGTCCTCCCATTTCCCCAATCTTCCAATTCCGCCGTCGTGCAATGTGACGTGCGATTAGGCTATTTGAAAAGGACGAGCGTGGCGATGCACATCTGTTACGCGCGCTGCCAGCGCACCCCTTCTCATTGCGCATCCCCCCTCCCTTGTCCTTCTCTCCAATGGCCGCCAGCTGGTGCGCCTAACCGCAGCGGCCGGCCCGCGCGTGTTTGCATTCGCGCGCTGACAGCGCGCGCCTTCTCATTGCGTGCGCATCCCTTCCCACAGCGCGCGCCTTCTCATTGCGTGCGCATCCCTTCCCACAGCGCGCGCCTTCTCATTGCGTGCGCACCCCTTCCCCCCGCTCCCCTCGTACAGCGGGCAAGCTGGTGCGCCTGAGCGAGGCGGACGGCCCCAGTGTAGCGGTGCGCATCTGCGCGCGTGCTGCCAGCACACCCCCTTCCTTACCGTTGCTTCCCCGCTCGTTCCCCCCCCTCCTCCGCACCTCCCCTTGTCCAGCGGGGAAGCTGGTGCGCCTGAGCGAGGCGGACGGCCCGAGCGTGGCGGTGCACATCTGCGACCGTGTGCTGCCGTTTCTGGAAGCCATGCAGGACGTCAGCGACGAGGCGGGGGTGAGTTGGGCTGGGTGCAGGGTGGTTGAGATCGGTGCATGAGGGGTTGGGCTGGGTGCATGAGGGGTTGGGGTGGGTGCAAGGAGCAGGGAGCATGGAGCAGCAACCGCGTGCTGCCGTTTCTGGAGACTGGAGGCCATGCAGGACGTCAGCGACGAGGCTGGGGTGAGTGATCGGTTAAGCGTGGTTGGGGTGGGTACACGAGGGGTTGGGCTGGGTGCAAGGAGCACGGAGCAGCGACCGCGTGCTGCCTTTCCTGGAAGCCATGCAAGACGTCAGTGACGAGGCTGGGTTAGCTGGTTTTCTGTGTATGCAGAGTGGTTGGGCTGGGTGCAAGGGGCACGAAGTAGGGAGCAGCGGCCGCGTGCTGCCATTCCTGAAGGCCATGCAGGACGTCAGCGACGAGAGAGGGGGGGTGCGTGAGTGGGCTACGCTATCACATCATTTCCATCCATCCTCTCCCTCCCATCCCTGCCAGCTACCATCCACCGTGCATGTAATCAAGAACGAGGACACAGGAGCATCCATTCTCCCTGCCCCTTCCATCCATCCATCCATCCATCCATCCATCCATCCATCCATCCATCCATCCATCCATCCATCCATCCATCCATCCATCCATCCATCCATCCATCCATCCATCCATCCATCCATCCATCCATCCATCCATCCATCCATCCATCCATCCATCCATCCATCCATCCATCCATCCATCCATCCATCCATCCATCCATCCATCCATCCATCCATCCATCCATCCTTCCATCAACGGGTCTGTTTTTCAACCCCCCCATCCCTGCCTGCCAGCTGCCCTCCACGGTGCATGTGATCAAGAACGAGGACACGGGAGCAGCCATCCTCTCTCCCGTCTCTTCCCTTCCATCCTTCCCTCCCTGGGTTTATGTGCCCCCCCTCCCCATCCCATGCCTGCCAGCTGCCCTCCACGGTGCACGTGATAAAGAACGAGGACACGGGAGCAGCCATTCTCTATTCCCTTCCCTTCCCTTCTATTCATCCTCCACCGCTCTGTTCCCATCCCATGCCTGCCAGCTGCCCTCCACGGTGCACGTGATAAAGAACGAGGACACGGGAGCAGCCATTCTCTATTCCCTTCCCTTCCCTTCTATTCATCCTCCACTGCTCTGTTCCCATCCCATGCCTGCCAGCTTCCCTCCACGGTGCACGTGATAAAGAACGAGGACACGGGAGCAGCCATTCTCGAAGCAGCAACGAAGCTGGAGGCCACCCACATGGTGCTCGCTTCCTCTGCCGGCAAGGGCGCCAGCCAGTGAGTGGGGAGTGTGTTGGGAGTGAGTGGGGAGTGTGTTGGGAGTGAGTGGGGAGTATAAGACTGGAACAGGCGTGCAGTGAAGGTCGTTCAGAATGGCAGCAGCATCGAAGCTGGAGGCCACCCACATTGTGCTCGCTTCCTCTGCTGGCAAGGGCGCCAGCCAGTGAGTGGTTGGTTGGGTTGGGTGTGAGGATCATGGGCGTGTAGGCAAGGTTAGAAGGAGAAAAGAGGCGGCGATGAAGCTGGAGGCCACCCACATGGTGCTCGCTTCCTCTGCTGGCAAGGGCGCCAGCCAGTGAGTGGGGAGTGTGTTGGGAGTGAGTGGGGAGTGTGTTGGGAGTGAGTGGGGAGTGTGTTGGGAGTGAGTGGGGAGTGTGTTGGGAGTGAGTGGGGAGTGTGTTGGGAGTGAGTGGGGAGTGTGTTGGGAGTGAGTGGGGAGTGTTCGAGGGGAGTGCGTGGGAGGCGAGTGAAGCTGAGACAGCAGCGTTGAAGCTGGAGGCAACCCACATGGTGCTCGCTTCCTCTGCCGGCAAGGGCGCCAGCCAATGAGTGGGGAGGGGAGTGCATGGCGCATGCATATCATTTGTCACAAACACATGGTACACCATCTAGGAGGAATGCCTCAGTTATCGGCTCGCGTGTTTGTCGGATCGGAACAGAGGCGCTTCAACAGAGACACCTCAAATGTCTCTCTCTCACCAAATGTGTCTCGCCTTCATCGTGTGTTTGTTTCTTGTCACAAACAGGTGGCTTTTGAGTCGACTCAAAAGGTGACTTTCGAGTCGACTCAAAAGACACCTCGTTATTGGCTCGCGTGTTTGTCGGAACAGAGGCGCTTCAACAGAGACACCTCAATCAAATGTCTCTCGTGTATGAAGAAGTGTTTTGACACGTCTCAAAACGCTTCAACAGAGACACCTCGATCAAATGTCTCTCGTGTATGAAGAATTGTTTTGACACGTCTCAAAACGCTTCAACAGAGACACCTCAATCAAATGTCTCTCGTGTATGAAGAAGTGTTTTGACACGTCTCAAAACGCTTCAACAGAGACACCTCAAATGTCTCTCTCTCGCCATCATCGTGTGCTTCTTTCTTGTCACAAACAGGTGGCACACTATCAACGCGTGTTCAGATGAGTCAAAGCTGCCGCCCGGAGCAACGCTCTTCCTCATTGAAGACGGCAAGAAGCTCAAATCCATCTCCTCAGGACAGCCCCCCGCCCCCACCACGGTGAGTCGTTTTATGCCTTCCAATCCCTCCCTGCTGTCACCACTATCCATCAAATCTCTGCTGTCAAACTCCGCCCAGAGGAGCAACGCTCTTCCTCATTGAAGACGGCAAGAAGCTCAAATCGATCTCCTCGGGGCAGCCTCCCGCTCCCACCACGGTGAGTCAGCGAGTAAGTCAGCCAATGCCATTCAATCCCTCCCTGCTGCCTCTCTCCGCCCAGAGGAGCAACGCTCTTCCTCATTGCAGACGGCAAGAAGCTCAAATCCATCTCATCAGGACAGCCGCCCGCTCCCACCACGGTGAGTCGTTTTACCCTTAGGACTGTGCCGTATAACACCTGCAAGTGAGGAGAGGACTGTTAAGTCAAAACAGCAGACGGCAAGAAGATCAAGACAATGTCATAAGGGCAGCCTCCTGCTCCTCTTCCTTCCCCTCTCTTCCCCCCTCCCTCTTCCCTTCTCAGATGGGCACAGCAGGTTATGCCACACCAGCGTATGAGCAGCAATTGCCAGGCATACAGGAGGGGGGCAGCGGCACACAGGAGCCCTCCTCCACCCCTGCTGCTGCTGCCGCTGCTGGGGAGGGAGGAGGAGGAGCAGCAACAGCAACAGCAGCAGCAGCGGCAACAACAGCAGCAAACAGTGCCAGTACTGCTGCTGCTGCTGCTGGTGCTGCTGGTGCCGGTGCAGCAGCGGCGAGTGGGGGAGGGGGTGGGGGAGCAGGAGACGAGGGACTATCAGCACTAGAGCTAGCTCGGCGGAATTACCGTATGCAAGCAGCTGCCAAAGCCCAGGCGGAAGCGGGGGCAGCTGGGGGGGGCGCAGGGGGGGCAGGGGAAGGCGCAGGGGGAGGCGCAGGGGGAGGGGCAGGGGGAGGAGCGCCGGGGAAGGGGAAGGGGAAGGTGAAACCCCCAGTGGCAGCGAAAATCCGACTGGAGAAGAAGTTTCAAGAGAGAGAGGGGCAGTCGAGCAAGCGGCTGAGTGGCAGCAGCGGAACAGTAGGCATAGCAGCAGGAGCAGCATTAGCGGGAGCAGGAGCAGCAGCAGGAGCAGCAGCAGCAGGAGCAGCAGCGGGAGCCGCAGCAGGAGACGGCACAACCAGCAGCAGTATCCCTACCGCCGCAAACCCCGCTGCCTCCAACCCCCTCGCCTCCTCCCTCTCCATCCGCCTCTCTACCTCGGAACTCGACGCGCTTCCGAGGCAGGATTTCAAGCAGTACTCACTTGAAGAGCTGCAAGCGGCTATGGACCATTTCTGGCCGAACAACGTGTGTGGCGAGGGCAGCTACGGGGTGGTGTACAAGGGGTGGCTGGATGGGCAGGCAGTGGCGATCAAGCAACTGAAGAACCCGGATGCGCAAGCGGCTCTAGATGAGATCGACCGGGAGGTGAGCGAATGAGTGTGAGAATGCGACTGTGTGTTCAGAGCAACGTGTGTGGCGAGGGCAGCTACGGGGTGGTGTACAAGGGGTGGGTGGACGGGCAGGCCGTGGCGATCAAGCAGCTCAAGAACCCTGACGCCCAAGCAGCTTTGGATGAGATCGAGAGGGAGGTGGGAAAGAGGCGGGAGGGGTTGAGAGGGGTTGAGAGGGGGTGCGTGTGGTTCTATGTGGAAGAGGGTGTGTGGAAGTAGCCGTGGCCATCAAGCAGTACATAGACCACCTCAATGCAGTGTGACTACTGGGCTATTGCACAGAGGACCGAGCTCCAACGCTTGTGTACGAGTTCCTCTCCAAGGCGCGCGCGCGCCTTGGTCCACGCGCGCGCCTTGGTCCACGCGCGCGCCTTGGTCCACGCACGCGCCTTGGTCCACGCGCGCGCCTTGGTCCACGCGCGCGCCTTGGTCCACGCGCGCGCCTTGGTCCACGCGCGCGCCTTGGTCCACGCGCGCGCCTTGGTCCAGGCCGCGCGCCCTGGTCCACGCGCGCGCCTTGGTCCACGCGCGCGCCTTGGTCCACGCGCGCGCCTTGGTCCACGCGCGCGCCTTGGTCCACGCGCGCGCCTTGGTCCAGGCCGCGCGACTTGGTCCACGCGCGCGCCTTGGTCCAGGCCGCGCGCCTTGGTCCACGCGCGCGCCTTGGTCCACGCGCGCGCCTTGGTCCACGCGCGCGCCTTGGTCCACGCGCGCGCCTTGGTCCACGCGCGCGCCTTGGTCCAAGCGCGCGCCTTGGTCCACGCGCGCGCCTTGGTCCACGCGCGTGCCTTGGTCCACGCGCGCGCCTTGGTCCACGCGCGCGCCTTGGTCCACGCGCGCGCCTTTGTCCACGCGCGCGCCTTGGTCCACGCGCGCGCCTTGGTCCACGCGCGCGCCTTGGTCCACGCGCGCGCCTTGGTCCAAGCGCGCGCCTTGGTCCACGCGCGCGCCTTGGTCCACGCGCGCGCCTTGGTCCACGCGCGCGCCTTGGTCCACGCGCGCGCCTTGGTCCACGCGCGCGCCTTGGTCCACGCGCGCGCCTTGGTCCACGCGCGCGCCTTGGTCCACGCGCGCGCCTTGGTCCACGCGCGCGCCTTGGTCCAGGCCGCGCGCCTTGGTCCACGCGCGCGCCTTGGTCCAGGCCGCGCGCCTTGGTCCACGCGCGCGCCTTGGTCCACGCGCGCGCCTTGGTCCACGCGCGCGCCTTGGTCCACGCGCGCGCCTTGGTCCACGCGCGCGCCTTGGTCCAAGCGCGCGCCTTGGTCCACGCGCGCGCCTTGGTCCACGCGCGTGCCTTGGTCCACGCGCGCGCCTTGGTCCACGCGCGCGCCTTGGTCCACGCGCGCGCCTTTGTCCACGCGCGCGCCTTGGTCCACGCGCGCGCCTTGGTCCACGCGCGCGCCTTGGTCCACGCGCGCGCCTTGGTCCAAGCGCGCGCCTTGGTCCACGCGCGCGCCTTGGTCCACGCGCGCGCCTTGGTCCACGCGCGCGCCTTGGTCCACGCGCGCGCCTTGGTCCACGCGCGCGCCTTGGTCCACGCGCGCGCCTTGGTCCACGCGCGCGCCTTGGTCCACGCGCGCGCCTTGGTCCAGGCCGCGCGCCTTGGTCCATGCGCGCGCCTTGGTCCATGCGCGCGCCTTGGTCCACGCGCGCGCCTTGGTCCACGCGCGCGCCTTGGTCCACGCGCGCGCCTTGGTCCACGCGCGCGCCTTGGTCCACGCGCGCGCCTTGGTCCACGCGCGCGCCTTGGTCCAAGCGCGCGCCTTGGTCCACGCGCGCGCCTTGGTCCACGCGCGCGCCTTGGTCCACGCGCGCGCCTTGGTCCACGCGCGCGCCTTGGTCCACGCGCGCGCCTTGGTCCATGCGCGCGCCTTGGTCCACGCGCGCGCCTTGGTCCAGGCCGCGCGCCTTGGTCCACGCGCGCGCCTTGGTCCAGGCCGCGCGCCTTGGTCCACGCGCGCGCCTTGGTCCACGCGCGCGCCTTGGTCCACGCGCGCGCCTTGGTCCACGCGCGCGCCTTGGTCCACGCGCGCGCCTTGGTCCAAGCGCGCGCCTTGGTCCACGCGCGCGCCTTGGTCCACGCGCGCGCCTTGGTCCACGCGCGCGCCTTGGTCCACGCGCGCGCCTTGGTCCACGCGCGAGCCTTGGTCCACGCGCGCGCCTTGGTCCACGCGCGCGCCTTGGTCCAGGCCGCGCGCCTTGGTCCAGGCCGCGCGCCTTGGTCCAGGCCGCGCGCCTTGGTCCACGCGCGCGCCTTGGTCCACGCGCGCGCATTGGTCCAGGCCGCGCGCCTTGGTCCACGCGCGCGCCTTGGTCCAGGCCGCGCGCCTTGGTCCACGCGCGCGCCTTGGTCCAAGCGCGCGCCTTGGTCCACGCGCGCGCCTTGGTCCACGCGCGCGCCTTGGTCCACGCGCGCCTTGGTCCACGCGCGCGCCTTGGTCCAGGCCGCGCGCCTTGGTCCACGCGCGCGCCTTGGTCCACGAGCGCACCTTGGTCCACGCGCGCGCCTTGGTCCAGGCCGCGCGCCTTGGTCCACGCGCGCGCCTTGGTCCACGCGCGCGCCTTGGTCCAGGCCGCTCGCCTTGGTCCAGGCCGCGCGCCTTGGTCCAGGCCGCGCGCCTTGGTCCACGCGCGCGCCTTGGTCCAGGCCGCGCGCCTTGGTCCAGGCCGCGCGCCTTGGTCCAGGCCGCGCGCCTTGGTCCACGCGCGCGCCTTGGTCCACGCGCGCGCCTTGGTCCACGCGCGCGCCTTGGTCCAGGCCGCGCGCCTTGGTCCACGCGCGCGCCTTGGTCCACGCGCGCGCCTTAATCCACGCGCGCGCCTTGGTCCACGTGCGCGCCTTGGTCCACGCGCGCGCCTTGGTCCACGCGCGCGCCTTGGTCCAGGCCGCGCGCCCTGGTCCACGCGCGCGCCTTGGTCCACGCGCGCGCCATGGTCCACGCGCGCGCCTTGGTCCAGGCCGCGCGCCTTGGTCCAGGCCGCGCGCCTTGGTCCAGGCCGCGCGCCTTGGTCCACGCGCGCGCCTTGGTCCACGCGCGCGCCTTGGTCCACGCGCGCGCCTTGGTCCAGGCCGCGCGCCTTGGTCCAGGCCGCGCGCCTTGGTCCAGGCCGCGCGCCTTGGTCCACGCGCGCGCCTTGGTCCACGCGCGCGCCTTGGTCCATGCGCGCGCCTTGGTCCAGGCCGCGCGCCTTGGTCCACGCGCGCGCCTTGGTCCACGCGCGCGCCTTGGTCCAGGCCGCGCGCCTTGGTCCAGGCCGCGCGCCTTGGTCCACGCGCGCGCCTTGGTCCACGCGCGCGCCTTGGTCCACGCGCGCGCCTTGGTCCAGGCCGCGCGCCTTGGTCCACACGCGCGCCTTGGTCCACGCGCGCGCCTTGGTCCACGCGCGCGCCTTGGTCCACGCGCGCGCCTTGGTCCACGCGCGCGCCTTGGTCCAGGCCGCGCGCCTTGGTCCAGGCCGCGCGCCTTGGTCCAGGCCGCGCGCCTTGGTCCACGCGCGCACCCTGGTCCACGCGCGCGCCTTGGTCCACGCGCGCGCCTTGGTCCACGCGCGCGCCTTGGTCCACGCGCGCGCCTTGGTCCACGCGCGCGCCTTGGTCCACGCGCGCGCCTTGGTCCACGCGCGCGCCTTGGTCCAGGCCGCGCGCCTTGGTCCAGGCCGCGCGCCTTGGTCCAGGCCGCGCGCCTTGGTCCACGCGCGCGCCTTGGTCCACGCGCGCGCATTGGTCCAGGCCGCGCGCCTTGGTCCACGCGCGCGCCTTGGTCCAGGCCGCGCGCCTTGGTCCACGCGCGGGCCTTGGTCCAAGCGCGCGCCTTGGTCCACGCGCGCGCCTTGGTCCACGCGCGCCTTGGTCCACGCGCGCGCCTTGGTCCAGGCCGCGCGCATTGGTCCACGCGCGCGCCTTGGTCCACGCGCGCACCTTGGTCCACGCGCGCGCCTTGGTCCAGGCCGCGCGCCTTGGTCCACGCGCGCGCCTTGGTCCACGCGCGCGCCTTGGTCCACGCGCGCGCCTTGGTCCACGCGCGCGCCTTGGTCCAGGCCGCGCGCCTTGGTCCAGGCCGCGCGCCTTGGTCCAGGCCGCGCGCCTTGGTCCACGCGCGCGCCTTGGTCCACGCGCGCGCCTTGGTCCAGGCCGCGCGCCTTGGTCCACGCGCGCGCCTTGGTCCAGGCCGCGCGCCTTGGTCCACGCGCGCGCCTTGGTCCACGCGCGCGCCTTGGTCCACGCGCACGCCTTGGTCCACGCGAGCGCCTTGGTCCAGGCCGCGCGCCTTGGTCCACGCGCGTGCCTTGGTCCACGCGCGCGCCTTGGTCCACGCGCTCGCCTTGGTCCACGCGCGCGCCTTGGTCCACGCGCGCGCCTTCGTCCACGCGCCCGCCCTGGCCCAGGCGGAGGTACAAAAAACGCATTGACCACCCCAATGCAGAAGCGTATAGACCATCCCAATGTAGTGCGTCTACTGGGTTACTGCAGTTAGTACCGTGCCTCCGTGGTGGAGGTGGAGGTGCAACAACGTATAGATCACCCCAACGCCGTACGCCTGCTGGGCTATTGCCCTGGTGACCGAGCCCTGGTGTACGAGTTCCCTTCTAACGGCTCTCCTTCTGCTTGCTTGCCCTGCTGCCCTTCCCCCCACCCACCCACTACCCCACAGGTGGAGGTGCAGAAGCGTATAGACCATCCAAATGCTGTGCGGCTACAAGGCTATTGCAGGGAGGATCGCTCGCTGGTGTACGAGTTCCTCTCCAATGGCTCTCTGGAGGACCGCATGCTGACTTTTTCCCATGCACCCCTTGCTTCCCTTGGTGATCCCACAGGTGGAGGTGCAGAAGCGCATAGACCACCCGAATGCTGTGAGATTATTGGGCTACTGCAGGGAGGACCGGTCGCTGGTGTACGAGTTCCTCTCCAACGGCTCTCCTCCTTCTGCTGATTGATTTCCCTGCTGTCTTTCCCCTCTCTAACCCTTTCTTCCCATGCTGATTCCCCCGCCTCTACCCCCACAGGTGGAGGTACAGAAGCGTATAGACCATCCGAATGCTGTGAGATTGTTGGGCTACTGCAGGGAGGACCGCTCGCTGGTGTACGAGTTCCTCTCCAACGGATCCTTGGAGGACCGCATGCTCTGCGTCGGCGGCACGCCACCCCTCATGTGGCCCGAGCGCTGCCGCATCGCCATGGAGGTACTGTGCGGTGAAGAGTGCTGTGGTGTGGTGCAGTGTGGTGTAGTGTGGTGTGGGGACCTAATGTCCACCGCGACGTGAAGCCAGCCAACGTGCTCCCCATTCCCCTTCTGCTCCCCATTCCCCTCCCCCTCCCCTTCTACCAACACCACCAGGTAGCAGCGGGTTTGCAGCAGTAACGCGCGCGCAAACCTCCCATCGTCCATCGCGATGTGAAGCCAGCTAGCGCGCTCCTCTTCTCCACGTGTTTGAAGTTTTGTTTTGTTTCAAAACTTCACTTCAAACATGAAGCCAGCCAGCTTGCTCCTCTTCTCCCCACTCAATCTCCTCATCATATCTCCCCTCCCTCTCCCAGGTAACAGCGGGTTTGCAGCACCTTCGCACGTGCAAATCCCCCATCGTGCATCGCGAGGTGAAGCCCGCACACTTTTCCCCATCATCCCCATTCTTTCCCTGCATCCCTCCCCTACTCCCAGGTAGCGGCAGGTTTACAGCACCTGCATACGCACAATGGGACGTGAAGCCAGCCATTCCTTGCCTTCACTCACTCTTCCTCATCATCCGTTCTTTCCCCCGGTCATCCTTCCCTACCCCAGGTAGCAGCAGGCCTGCAGCCCCCCATCGTCCATAGAGACGTGAAGCCCGCCAACGTGCTCCTGGACGACAACTTCACTGCCAAGCTCCTGTCCTCTTTCCCCTCCCCCCACCCTGGTCCCTCTCCCCTCCCTCCAACACCAAGCTCCCCATTCCCGTTCCCGTGCCCCCACCCTGGCCCTCCCTCTCCCCTTCCCTAACCAGGTAGCAGCAGGCCTACAGCACCTGCACACGCGCAAACCTCCTATAGTCCATCGAGACGTCAAACCAGCCAACGTGCTCCTGGTCGACAACTTCACCACAACCTGGTCCCTCTCTCTTCCCCCCAACCAGGTGGCAGCGGGTTTGCAGCATCTGCACACGCGCAAGCCGCCCATAGTCCACCGCGACGTGAAGCCAGCCAACGTGCTCCTGGACGACAACTTCACCGCCAAGCTCGGCGACGTGGGCCTGGCGCGCCTCATGGGGGACCTCGCTCCCGGCCACTCCCACGTTGTGCGAAAATCCGTTATCGTCGGCACGGAGCATTATGTAGACCCCGAGTATCTCTGTGCAAGACGAGGGTATCTCGGGCCGAAATCCGACGTGTATTCGTTTGGGATCGTGCTGCTGCAGCTGCTGGTCGGGGATGTGCCGAACCCACGGAGGATAGATGCGGCGGTGGAAAGGGAGGAGCTGGCTGTGCTGCTCGATCCGAGGGCTGGGGAGTGGCCGCCGAATCTCGCGATGGATCTGGCGAATCTCGGCCTTTGGTGCGCGGAAATGGACCGCCGAGATCGGCCGGATCTGACGGAGGAGGTGATTCCTGCGCTGTTGGAGATCTGTGAAGCGGCGGCGGAAGCAGTGGTGGAATGGGAGGGGAAGCAGGAGGCGGTGAGGGAGAGGCAGCGGCAGGAGCGGGAGCAGAAGGAGCGGGAGAAAGCGAGGAAGGAGGAGGAGGCGCGGAAAGGGAAGGAACGGCAGGAGGCGGGGGAAGCTGCAAGGAAAGAGCAGGGGGTGGGGGGTGGTGGTGCGAAGGGGAAGGCCGGGGAAGGGAAGACGGATGCGAGTGTTGGGGGAAAGGACGATGGTGCTGCGCATGCGCAGGGTGGGTGCTGTGTTTTGTTGTGATTGTGTCTCAAAATGGGAAATGTTTCTTGAATCATGATGTGTTGCTGGTGTAGCTTCTCTGCTAGAAATTGGATGAAGTTGTGGTATGAAGGCTTAGAGAAATTGGTATGAAGGGTTGGAGAGCCACATGGTACCGTAGATGGATGTGAAAGAATCTCCTGCTTAGTTTTACACTGAACATTTCCCATTGTGAGACAACGGGAGAGGATACCTACGGTACATACCATATACAAGTGGTTCAGGTGAATGTGATTGTACAACAGATTAAAAATGTTACACCCTGGACCTCCTTACGTTGTCTATTCCTTACAGTACGGTATGTACAATGAAGTGTGCAGATTGGACCTTGGAGAAGAGCCTTGAGAACAAGAAAAGCTAGTCAAGAGTTGCCTGAGCACACAGCTTGCACACTAGAACACAGAACGCATGGATGCTGTTGAAGGGGACCAGTTGCAGACAAGAGAGGAGGAATCCCCACCCTGGAGAAAAGGAGTGATAACAGAACGGGAGTTTGTGCCAAGAAAATGGGCCGTGGCCCATCAGGCCCTTTCCCCATGAGAGCAGCTGACCGTCGGCTGAGAGGAAGGGGGAATGGGGACGTGGAAGGAGAAGGGGGAAAGGAGTGATAACAGAAAGGGAGTTTGTGCCAAGAAAATGGGCCGTGGCCCAGCAGGCCCTTCCCCCATGAGAGCAGCTGACCATTGGCTGAGGAATGGGAGGTGGAAAGAGGAGGGTGAGGGTTGGTAAAGGGAAGGGAGGTTGGTCGGAATGTGGGCCGTGGTTGAGCAGACCGTTTCCCCATGAGAGCAGCTGATTGACTGTCAGCTGAGAGGGAAGTCGCAGGGAGGGAGCATGAGAGCATGGGAGCATTGGAGCATTGGAGCATTGGAGCATGGGAACATGGGAGCATGGGAGCATGAGAGCATGGGAGCATTGGAGCATTGGAGCATGGGAGCATGGGAGCATGGGAGCATGGGAGCATGGGAGCATGTGGGACAGGGGAGCATGGCAGCATGGGCATATATGAGCCTACCTGTGACAGCGAGGGTGTGTTGTCCCCCCAGGGCCGTGTGTTGAATGTTCACTCCCACCAGCGACCCTGGCACAGAGGGCGAATGCACCTTGGATGGAGCGCCTGGGGAGAAGGGGAGAAGAAAGAGGGAGGAGCAGGGATGGGTAGAAGAAACGGTGTAAAATGCACACTTGTGTCAGCGCATCCCACACAGGGCGAATGCACTTTGGCTGGGCCGCCTGGGGAGAAGGGGAGTGGAGGCATGAGGATTGATCTCAAGACAGATGGGTGGAATATCGAAGAAGAACGGTAAGGGTGAGTGACAGAAAATGGACAAGAGAAAGAGCGCAGTTGCAATCAGACAGGACGACTTACGTGAGCCGAGACCAAGCTGGCGGGCGGCATTGCCGGCCCACAGATACATTTGGCTGGCCTCTGATGGCCAGGAGGTGAGGGTACTGGAGAAGTACAAACAGACAGGGGAGGAGAAGAGGAGAGCAGAGCATGATTAATATCAGATGCAGAGCGAGAAAATGGACCACAATGAATTGAACTCTCATGACAGAGTTAAACTATAAATCTGATCATAATCAGTTAGTATGCTGGGTGAATCACCAGCAATGTGTTGGATTGAGTTACCATCTATGGCTGCTGAGTGGAAGGCAGCAGCTGCAACGGCCACTACAGGCCGATCGAAGCCGACCACCTCTTTGGCCGACTGCAGGGAACAAGCATCGGATGGAACAGAGAGGGATTGGGCACGGTTGAAAGAGATTGTTGGGTGAAGACATTGTATCCACATGATGGGTTGAGAGCGGACCGTGTCAATGTTGGTACGGACGACTGAAATTGCTGAACATAATACAAGGCAGGAGGAAGGGGGGAAATGCTTGCAAAAACGGAACAGAAGCGGCAGCATTATCGGCACTCACAGTGACGTATGGAGGAGCGTTGAATTCACCCAACCCCAGCTGTCCATGGTCGTTGCGACCCATGCCAAACACCATGCCATCCGATGGATGGGTGCCTACAGCAACAAAACAAGTAGCAGTGGTGGCACTCACAGTGACGTACGGTGGAGCGTTGGATTCATTCATCCACCCCCAGCTGCCCCTGGTCGTTGGATTCATTCATCCACCCCCAGCTGCCCCTGGTCGTTGAGCCCCGTGCTGTACACCCTGCCATCCGCCGAGGGGAAGCATCATGCATCATGCATGTGCACACACGCATGGGGTAAGAGCATGTATTGTTGGTCGTTCAGACCCATACGTACACCCTACCATCCGCTGGGGGGATGCATCATGCATCATGCATGTGCACAGACGCATGGGGTATGTGTATGCAATAATCGTCGTTGAGTCCTCCGCTGTTCACCCTGCCATCCGCTGTATCGACGCATGGGGTATGTGTATGCAATGTTGGTCGTTGAGACCCGTGCTGTACATCCTGCCATCCGCTGGGGGGATGCATCATGCATCATGCATGTGCACACACGCATGGGGTATGTGTATGCAATGATCGTCGTTGAGTCCTCTGCTGTAAACCCTGCCATCCGCTGTATCGACGCATGCATGGTAAGAGCATGCAATGTTGGTCGTTGAGACCCGTGCTGTACACCCTGCCATCCGCTGTATCGACGCATGCATGGTAAGAGCATGCAATGTTGGTCGTTGAGACCCGTGCTGTACACCCTGCCATCCGCTGGGGGGATGCATCATGCATGTGCATGGGAGAGCAATTAGACTCACATCACCACATTCAGATCATCATGGCCTCATGGGTCCATGGTTAGTTTCAAACTCACATAGACACCACGGGATAAGTCTATGCAAAGCCAGTTGTCAAGGTCGGTGCTAAACACCTGCTGCTCTAACAGACATAATCAAATTCACAAGCACACGTCTTACAGCAATCCTAGAGATGGATTGACCCTGATGCCGGCTGAAACTCGACTTTGACATTCTTTCTACCGCCAGACTGACACGTACCTGTCAGCACGACCGTGTGAGCACCACCGCATGCCACCTGGCACACGTCCTTATCCTCCAATGCCGCGCAAACTCGAGGGACGTTCACGGATCCCACATCCTCATTCCTATCCGCTTCCGCTCCGCCATTTTCCCTCCCGACTTTCCCCCACCCCACCCCCACCACCGCCTCCGCCTTTCTTATTCTCCCCGCTCTCCGACTCTCCGTGCTTCCCCCGCTTGCTCCCCAGCCCCAGCCGTCCGTGATCCCCGTTCCCCCACAACGCAGCCTTCCTTCGGGACGTCTCAAACGCGGACGTCCGATTTCCCGTGAGGCATCGCTCGAAGCGCGCCAATTCGACTCTTGACGCGGACTTGACCCGTGATGGGTTGCCACGTGGCGAGTGCTTTGAGTAGGAGCAGCGTCCGCGGGACTGATAACATCCGCCATGGACGCAGGAAAACCGACGCGCTTTCGCCCAAGTCGTGTTCGGCGCGCAAGGTGTAACGAGGAGCGCAGAAAGCCCATGTCCACGGAAGAGGATGCTAAAAGTACAAAGAATCTAACAGCAAGAGGATGCTGCAAGCCGTTTAGATCTCAGCGCAATGTACAAATGATACGCTTATAGCGTCAAACATGACAAAGGAATTTCCTCAGCTGCGGGTTCATATGTAAAATCGTCTCCATGGCATTTTCAATTTCCTGCATCCCCGTGCAGAAACATGTTGTAAAAATTCGGGAGGGAAACATTAGCAGAGGATAGTACAAATCAGGATTCCAGGCTGTCAATTTCTGCAGCATATCTTTATATTCTCAAGCACGCATTTCCCGCACATGGCGCCGCCGAGGATGCGCGTGAAGCGTAACGCTCGTCCTCTTGCGCGACACCAGGGTGCGCTCGTCCTTTTGAGTCGACTCAAAACATTTCTTTCTTTCATGGCGGCCATTCAAGTATCGATCGGTTATCCAGCGATCCGAAAGTCACATTACGCGATCCTAGTCTCGCCGCACAATGCGATCACGCCAGTGCGAGGTGCTTCCAAGGGCTTGCGGACGCGGATTTCCAGCCTCCGCCTCCCCCATGCCAGGCTGCAGTGCTCCTTCTCGTGCCTCACCTGCGGCATCAGAAGATGAAGATACTCTAGATGGGTTTGACTCCAGGTGCTTCCAAGGGCTTGCGGACGCGGATTTCCAGCCGTTGGATTCATGTACTGTCTCCCCTTCGCCAGATGCATCACGCCTGAACGAATCTTATGACGGCTCGTCGCTCCCTCGCCCGTCACCGGGAGCCTCACCTGTCTCTGCGGTGGCGACAGGTGGCGGACAGGTGCTGCAGCACCGGTCTCTGCGGTGGCGACAGGTGCTGCAGCCGCGGCGACGGTGGTGCGATGGCGAGTGCTGTGTCGCGCGTGGCCCGCTCACTGGCAGCAGCTGAGAAGGTGCGCTTCGGCCAGCTTCCACTCCCTTTTATTCCTTCACTCTAAATTTGCCGAACTCAGGCATCATTGTCAGGTTGAGCCACCTGATGCTTGATAAAGGTCATTGTCAGGCATGATTGATGAAGGTTGAGGGTTGAGCCATTGATGAATGGTGTCAACCTTCAGGCCGCAACCTGATTATCCCGAGGTGTCATGATCTCCGCATGTGCTGCTTTTTTTAGGTTTTTGACGCCACTTCATCTTATCATCGGACCTTACATGAATCAACCACCTGCAGTCATTTGCAGCGACTTGCAGCGACTTGCACTCTGAGTGAAGCTTCCTGGATTGCAGAGGTTGCAATTTCACTGAAATCGATCAACTCAAATCCATTCTTGTCCCAGTCAGCTCTATCACTTTAGAACCAGAATCACCTCCTCACCTAATTCCCACTCTCTCCTCCACCACTCCAGGTGTTTTCAGGCGTCTCAAAACACTCTCCTCCACCACTCCTGCGTATCTTACCTCTCCGTTGACTCCTCCTTGCCTGCAGCATATGGCTGTCGGGCGCGTGGGGAGAGATGTTTCCCCACTGGTGCACC